TAAAAATTCCATGCGCTGCATGTCATCAAAGTTCGATCAATTCAACGAAGAAAATTTTATGAGTTCTACAAGTTATTATTTATCTACTTTTCAAAAAGGCACTCCTTCTTTGGTTGACAAGTTTTATAAAGCTAGAACTTTTTAATCTATTATATATATATATATATATATATATATATATATATATATATATATATATATATATATATATATATATATATATAAAAGATAATAAATAATAAGAAAAAAAATACAAATAAAAATATAGTTTAAAAAACAAATAATAAATAAAGAATCGGAAAACTCGAGTAGGACCAGGATGCCACCGAGAAACCGCTCAAGCTAAAGTAGAATGATTTGGATGATTATAACGTTAATATTTAAATGTATATTTTCTTATTTTTTTTTTTTTTAAATATTCCATCGTATAACATACTTTGACTTTTGAGATCGTTTTAAATAAGCAATAATTTTAAATTTAATAATATAACAACAAAACTGTTAAAGAACAGTCATTAAAACTACAAATAATAACAGCGCTTTTTTTGGGAATGAATGCTTCTATTATCAACATATTTTATAAGTTTGTCTACTAGTTTACATTAAGTTTAAATTTGTCAATTTCAAATGAACAAATAAAATTTTATTTTAAAGAATTAAAAATCTTGTCGGACAAAATGTCTGATGACTTTGTAAATTGATCAGACAATCTGAGGTTTTAGCCGGACAATGTCCGATGTCCGACTGTTAAATTAAGCCCTGCATATATACATATATATATAAATATATACATGTATATATTTATATATATATATATATATATATATATATATATATATATATATATATATATATATATATACACAACCCTTGGAATTAGAAAAAAAAGCAATAACTTGTCGACATCAATCGAAAAAGCAGAAAAATTTGTTTCACAATTAAACATAGAAACAAGGTCAGCATTATTTGTCGACCTCAAACACTTTTAGGTTGGCATTGCTGCATGCCAACCCTAATTCCGAGGGTTGTAAGTAATATGTTAGTTTATAATAATTTTTCTGTTTTTGTTTAAAGTTTATTAAAAAAAATAAGATTCTGTTTTCAATGTAGTTATTTTCTCCTTAATTTTGCTTATTTTTTCTTTTAAAAAATTGTTTTTCGTGACCAAATCTCTTTAAATAATAGAAAAATGTCTCTTTAAATCCTTACTTTAAGCGTCATTTTTAACAATGTGAACCCTGATTTTGTTTTTGCTAAAAATACAAAATATATGTCCATAAATAAAATAAAAATAAGTTTTGTTAAATTTTAGAATTAGTAGAATTAGTTAATATTTAGAATTATTAGTTATTATTTTTTATTAGTTAAATTTAGTAGAATTTGTAGTATTTGTTAAAATTTAGAAATAGATAGTGTCAAACATCAATTAGATACAATTTAAAGTTAAATAGAAAAGTTAAAAAAAAAAAAAAAATTGCTAATGCTAAGAAAAAAACACTTTGAAGAATATTTTTTACTTTTCCATAAATTTTATTTACTTATTAATTAGGATTTTATTTTTAGGAGCGTCAACTACATCAAGTGTCATATATATGTTTTGGTCAAATGCATGTTTATATTTGGTAATATTATGTTACATTTTTGTTTTGTATTTCAAAAACTCATATTGCATTTATTTAAATATGCATTTAGGAATCTAGAATTGATGTGTTTGTAGTTTTTGTATTTAATTTTGTTTTAAATCAAAGAAATTTTATTTGATTAAATGTATTTAACCCTAAAGTTCATTTTTATTTTTGTCTTCGGTTTTAAAAAAATAAAACAATGGTTTTGGCTATAGTTCATTTTATGTAATGGTAATGTAATATAGTTTATTTTATGTAATATGCCTAATGAATTTGTATTAGTAACAACTTCTTTAATTCATTCAGCTCCCCCAAAATTTGAAAGTCTGTGATTCAAAATTTTGCTTTCCCAAAAAAAAGTTGAAGAAAATATATGAAGTCAATGATAAATTTTAAAGTTTTACAAAGATTAATGTAAGTAATATTTTTTCTTGTAATAACTATCTTGGATGTTATTTTAACTATCGAGACCTTCTTTCTTTATATATTAATTTATAAATACTCCGCAATACTCAAAATAGGTACCTAGTCAATTCAGCAAGAAAAAAAGAACATTTAAGAATTCTCTTTCAAAAGATGTAGTTAGTAAAGTTTTAAGTTAGTTATATATATATATATATATATATATATATATATATATATATATATATATATATATATATATATATATATATATATATACACTCATCTGTGTATGTATGTGTACTGGGACTCTTTCCGTGATTTTCTTCGTGATGGCCCTTGGGTAGAAATCTTTCGTCTTCCTGCTGACAAATGTGCTTCTTACATAACTTCGTGGATTCAGGCTGGCATGGAATCTTTTATTCCCTCTCGACGATTCCAGGTCAAGCCTCACTCTTCTCCTTGGTTTTCCTCACATTGCGCTGCAGCAATTTCTAATCGAAACCGTTACTTCCATATCTATCAGCAAAACAATTCTCCAGAAAACAGACATCTGTTCACTATCGCCAGAAACCATTGTAAAAAGGTTTTGTCTGACGCCAAAGCTCGCTATTCCCAGGTCATTAAATCTCGTATCTCATCACAAAAATTAGGCTCTCGAGACTTCTGGAGAATCTTTAACAGTATCAATAATAAGGGCAAATCTGTTATTCCTTCTCTCTTGTATGGTTCAGACTTTGTCACCTCACCTAAAGACAAAGCTGAATTGTTTGCAAAGAACTTTTCATCAATATCATCTCTTGATTCCACTAGTTGTGTTTTACCTGACATAGCCGTCAAACAGGTTGATCCCTTGCTTGACATTCGCATCACTTCAGCTTCTGTATCTAAAGTAATTTCCTGCTTAGACTCTTCAACAGCTTGTGGTCCTGACAACATTCCTGTTGTAGTCTTGCAGAGGTGTTCTCCCGAGCTTTCATCCATACTTTCTAAACTATTTAACAAGTGCTTATCAGAGTCTTGTTTTCCATCATGCTGGAAAGCAGCATCTGTTATCCCTATTTTCAAAAATTCCGGAGAGCGATCTGATTCATCTAACTACCGCCCCATTAGTCTTCTTCCTGTCATAAGCAAGGTTTTTGAATCTTTAATCAACAAACACTTAATCTCTCATCTTGAATCAAATAACTTACTTTCTGATCATCAATATGGATTTCGATCTTCTCGTTCTACAGCTGATGTGCTAACAGTAATAACCGATAGGTTTTACCGTGCATTAGATAGAGGTGGAGAGGTTAAGGCTATCGCACTTGACATTTCTAAAGCTTTTGATAAAGTTTGGCATGCTGGTCTTCTCCATAAGCTTTCTTCTTATGGTGTAGCTGGTAACGTCTTTAAGATTATTGAGTCCTTTCTTTCCAATCGTAGTATAAAAGTTGTCCTTGATGGACAACACTCTTCTTCACATCCTGTAACTTCAGGGGTTCCTCAAGGTTCAATCCTTGGCCCTATACTCTTTTTAATTTACATTAACGATCTTCCAGATATTCTCACATCTAAGGTGGCATTATTCGCTGACGACACTACCATTTACTCTTGTCATGATAAGAAGCCTACACTCTCTGATTGCTTGGAGGGGGTATCTGAGCTTGAAAAGGATCTCACTTCTGCTACAGCATGGGGCTCACAGTGGCTGGTGAACTTTAATTCAGATAAAACTCAATTTTATTCGGCCAATCGTTATCGTAATAATTTAGATCTTCCTATATTTATGAATGGTAATGTACTAGATGAGTCATCTACCATTCATCTTCTAGGATTAACTCTTACTTCTGATCTTTCTTTTAAACCGTATATCAAATCCATTGCAAAATTAGCATCTGCTAAGGTTGCATCTCTTTATCGAGCTCGACACTTTCTTACTCCAGATTCTATTCTCTATCTCTATAAATCTCAAATCCGTCCCTGTATGGAATACTGTTGCCACATCTGGGGCGGATCTTCTAATGATGCTCTTTCTCTTTTAGACAAGGTGCAAAAACGAATTGTAAACATAGTTGGACCTGCTCTGGCAGCCAATCTCCAACCTTTGTCACATCGTCGTAATGTTGCTTCTCTTTCTCTTTTCTACAAATACTATAATGGGCACTGCTCTAAAGAGCTAGCGTCCCTTGTGCCATCTACTAAAATTCATTCTCGTGTTACTCGCCATTCAATTAAGTCTCATCCTTTTTCTGTGACTGTTCCTAAGTGCTTCAAAAACTCTTATTCTTCTAGTTTTTTTCCTCGAACATCAGTTCTTTGGAATTCGCTTCCTTCATCTTGCTTTCCTGATTCATATAATTTGCAATCTTTTAAGTCATCAGTCAATCGTTATCTTGCTCTACAGATTTAGTCTTTTCTCTTCCAGTAACTTCCAACTCTTATAGTGGTTGCTTGCAGCCTTGTTGGAAGTGAAGATGTTAAAAAAAAAAAAAAAAAAAAAAAAAAAATCTTCATATCCTGTAACTTCAGGGGTTCCTTAAGGTTTAATCCTTGGCCATATACTCTTTTTAATTTACATTAACAATCTTCCAGATATTCTCACATCTAAGGTGGCATTGTTCGCTGATGACACTACCATTTATTCTTGTCATAAAAAGAAGCCTACACTCTCTGATTGCTTGGAGGAGGTATCTGAGCTTGAAAAGGATCTCACCTCTGCTACAGCATGGGGCTCACAATGACTGGTGAACTTTATTTCAGGTAAAACTCAATTTTTTTTTGGCCAATCGTTATCACAATAGTTTAGATCTTCCTATATTTATGAATGATAATGTACTAGATGAGTCATCTACCCTTCATCTTCTAGGATTAACTTTTACTTCTGATCTTTCTTTTAAATGGTATATCAAATCCATTGCAAAATTAGCATCTGCTAAGGCTGCATCTCTTTATCGAGCTCGACACTTCCTTACTCCAGATTCTCTTCTCTATCTCTATAAATCTCAAACCCGTCCCTGTATGGAATACTGTTGCCATATCTGGGGCGGATCTTCTAATGCTCTTTCTTTTTTAGGTAAGGTGCAAAAAGGCATTGTAAACATAGTTGGATCTGCTTTTGCAGCCACTGTCACATCGTCATGATGTTGCTTCTCTTTCTCTTTTCTACAAATACTATAATGGGCACTCATCTAAAGAGCTAGCGTCCCTTGTTCCATCTACTAAAATTCTTCTCGTGTCACTCGCCATTCAATTAAGTCTCATCCTTTTTCTGTGACTGTTCCTAACTGCTCCAAAAATTCTTATTCCTCTAGTTTTTTTCTTTGAACACCAGTTCTTTGGAATTCGCTTCCTTCAACTTGCTTCTCTGATTCATTTAATTTGCAATCTTTTAAGTCATCTGTCAATCATTATCTTGCTCTACGAAATCTATCTTTTCTCTTCCAGTAACTTCAAAACTCTTATAGTGGTTGCTATAGTCTTGTTGGAAGCCAAGATGTAATATATATATATATATATATATATATATAAAGTTATAATAGCATATTGTTTTTTAATTAACTAGTATATAGTCTTACATTCATTTACTTACTTATCTTAAGAATAATGAAATATAAAAAAGGTTTAAAGTTGACAATAGTTTTGATCTTTACTAGTGTGATTCTCGGGCCAAGTTTCTTAAAGGTGATCAATCATTTTTTCGATACAAATGTTGCAAAAAGTAGTATATTTTTTATTATGGTTGAATGTTTAGTTTTCTTTTTAAGGATAAATTACTATTATAAATTACATAAAAAATTTTGATCTGTAATTATATACATAATGCTCACTTTACAAATAAACATAATTTACACAAAATTTTAGAGTTGATTAAAACACTAATGTATTGCTTCTATGCCCAATATAACTTACATTAAATTGTCCCATATCAATTACACTAGTGTTATCTTTTTAATTTAGAAATAGAAGTTATTAAATGTTGGTGGCTCATCATGCAGTGCATTTGAGAAGGGCATGCTTTCAAAGTAAGTATGATTTTACTAAAAAAAGAGCATTTTTAATACCGCAATTATATTACATACTTGATATACATAAATATATAAGCTTGTCACAATAATCCAGTCAAAAATTTCTTAAAAAAAATTAATTTAGTGTTGAGAAATTCGTAATTTTTGATGTTTGATGTTATGTTTATAAAATAATAATTATATATATGTGTGCGTGCGTGTGTGTGTTGTTTATTTCCCCTTGATTTTTACATACTTATCTTTACAATATTTTTTTAGGGTTAAGACTGCTTTTCTGATTCCTACAACAACAAAAAAACTTTAAAATGCTGGTGGCAATATTTTAAAGAGTGCATCGGATCAAAAAGAATGTGAATGACGTCAACTGTTCGAACATTCGAACATAATGACGTCAACTGTTCGATGATTATTTTTGAAGAGGAGTTTTACTTAAGATGAATGCAGGTTTTCTTTATACAGAAAACGTAAAGAAATACTTCATAAGACAACATCGTGCAAATTTCATTTAATAAGACTGCATTGTTTTGCTCTAAAGCCATTTGTACATAATAACAAATGTCAGACATCATAAATAGGGCACTTTAAGAACTTTAAATATGCTAATTGCAAAATACTTATGCAATTTATCGGCTTACTTATCCAATTTTTCAAGTTGCTTAACTAACTTCCAGACTTTTTATCTAGATCCAGAGTTGTTAGTCCTTGGCCTGTCCTCAAGGCCAAAAATTGAAACCTTAGCCTTGGTCTCGGCCTTGGCCTTGAAAATTTTAGCCTTGGCCTTGATTGTTTTGGCCTCTGCTTTTAAAAAAAAAATGCTTTCTTATTGGGTTTTTTGAACTCTGTACATAACCTTAGTCTATTTTTACAAAATGTTTTTATTTTTGTTAAAGCACTTGCTGCTTACAGTTTTGTTAATAATTGACCTTAACGTATTGCAAAAATTGAAGTGTTGAAAAACTTGTGCGGCAGTGGCGCAGTGGTTAGAGCGCTTGCTTTATAAGCAGGAGATCCAAGTTCGAAACGAGCTCTGGACATATTTTCGCGTCACGATAAGGAAGGAGGCGTGAACTTCCTGGTTAAATGCACTTCCGCGGTGCTCTGTGACAAGGTCGTTAGGTCTTCTTTGGGCACCTAAAAAAAATAACATTAAAAAAAAAAAGTGTTTAGTCTTAAAAATTAAACTCTTAATTTTGGCTTTGATCTTAAAAATTTTGGACTTGGTCTTGAAACTTTTGGCCTTGGTCTATGCCTTGTAACGTGTAGCCTTTGTCTTGGCTATTTTTGGCCTTGTTAACAACTCTGTCTAAATCCAGGTCAGATTAGGCGGATTGACCACTTAATTCCATACTAATTTAGGCATAATTTTAGTTTCGTTAGTTAAGGTGATTAAAAATACACACCTCGTATCGAGATTAGATAAAGCAAAAATTATTTTGTCCTATACATGAAATTTTCCTAATTATAGTTTGAAGTAATCCCGCGCTTATCATAGTTAAGTTACTCGTCAGCAATGCCGAAACCATGAATAATAAAAAATGTCCAATGGAACTTTAAAATGTAAAGTAATTTATTACATCTAACTTACATCTTAATAGTAATATAGTATTTCTCCCTAGGCGGCCGCCTAATATGCGGTACCATAGATCCGCCCCTAAGTACCGACGAGTCTTGAAACCAAACTTGAAATAAAAAAACAAACCGCCATTATCATTTTGTAAAATAAGCGGTAAAAAGTTGCATAGAATTTTTGTTAATTTAATCAATTCAAGAGTGATTTACTAATGAATCATTATTTTATACTATATAAATACATTTCACCAATACAGCATGCTGTATTGGTGAAATGTATTTATATAGTATAAAATAATGATTCATTAGTAAATCACTCTTGAATTGATTAAATTGAACAAAAAATGTATAAAAGACATACAATTCACAGTTGCTAGCAACTGTCTATTGTATGTCTTTTATACTTTTTTTGTTGTTTTGCATGATACGAGTGATGGTAATATATATATAGTTTATGTATAAATAGTTTAAATTCATCAAATACTATATACTTCTGCAAGTGTCATCTTTAATTGTTTGCCCTCAAAATAAGCGTGTTCAAATCAAGGTGATTATTTTGTGTTTATTAAAATTTACAATTAATATAATAAAAATAAGTTATTTATATGTGTTTAAAATGTAAAATAGATTTAATTTTAAGCTTTGTATGTAACTTACAATTATAATTAACGTATACCTTATTTTTTAAAAAATGTCAAGAATAAGCTCGCAGATAGCTGAAAAACCTGAAAATATCAAAGGTCTAAAAATCTAGTCCACTTTGAGAAATTAAAATCAAGAAGATCTCACATACCCAAAGTTTTAGAGCCATTTGATAATTTGAATTAAGTGCCAAAAGCTTATTATGATTTTTTTCGGATTATTTGCTTATCAAATTTAGAGGTCAGTTTATTTGGGATGCAAAAGAGTCGGTCCAGAATTATCTGATTTATGGCTTAAGCTTAGTTTACCAAAAATAAATAAAAGGTCTAGAACAAGAAAAGACAAATTTCTTATTAACAAATATCATTCAGTTCAAAAATCTAAACAATGTCTTGAAGAAAAGTGGGATTATTTATTTGATATAACTAAAGTAAATTTTAACTGGCTTAGCAACAAAGGCAAAGCATTTTATTTCTTACAAGTGGATACTAATGGTCAAGTTGGTTATTGTACCTCAAAAGCTGTTAAAGTACATCCAACAAAGGCTGGCAGGAAGATACCTAGCATACCTGAAACAGATACAGTAGAGTTCAGTGACAATAATGAAGAAGGCAATAAACAAAATGATGAACAAGATTCTAATTATATTCCTCCAGACAAAAAAGCTAAGAGAAAATATGAGAACACCACTGTAGTGTTAACTTAGTTAGGAAGTCAAAACTAAGTATTAAGAAATCAGTCGAAGTTTGGAAAATTTTTCCTGAATGTGGTGTCAATGTACAAGCCCCATCTAAATCTGGGGTTTATAGAGCTGTCAGCAGCTCAAAAAATGGAAAAGCACATGATAAGTAATTTAAAAAATGAGAATTGGGTTTTGCATTTTGACGGTAAAGGAATGTCAGAGAAAGAGTATCAAGTCTTGGTTTTAAAAAATGCAGAAAAGGAGGTGAAACTAGCCATTTTAAAACTTGATGATGAAAAAGCTAATAGCTTCCCATCATCTAGTTTTAAAATAGCTACTTTTCTGCATTTTTTAAAACCAAGACTTGATACTCTTTCTCTGATATTCTTTTACCGTAAAAACGCAACACCCAATTCTCATTTCGGCCCTGTATTAGTATTTACAGTTGAATAGTTAAAGTGTTGGATAAATTTCAACTATGGAGTAGTATTAAAGTTATAGCATCTGATACTATAAGTGTGAATACTGGGAGTAGAAATGGAGTTGCAGTTCAACTGCAAAGAAATTTTGAAAGAAAAATCTTGAACCATTTCAATTTATTAGTTGCCAGCATCATGTGTTGGACACAACTTTGAAACATACTATGAATGATATCCTTAACAAAAGAGTGTCGAAATCGCAAGAATTATATATATATATATATATATATATATATATATATATATATATATATATATATATATATATATATATATATATATATATATATATATATATATATATATATATATATATATATATATATATATATTCGTGCCGGTTAAGTCGACACTTTGTATGAAAAATTCCGCGATAAAGGAGACTCATATATAAAGGCGACACAATCGCGTCGCCTTTATTTTTTAATGTAAAATATTGAGTCTTTCCCGCGCTTTGCATATTTTAAAACAATTGCAAACATGTAACCTAGTTACCATGTTTTTAATCTATGTAGGATAGTTTTATTTTTAAAACATTTTTAGAGGAAAGTAAGCACTAAGTTTAGATCCGTATATGAATGAGAATGAAAAAAATAGTTATAAAGGCGACGTTAGTGTATATTTGCGTGTATATTGCAAGTTAAAGGCGACAATTTTTCTAAGTTTTAGGATTTTAGAGGTAAAACATGTATAAATTTATGATATATATATATATATATATATATATATATATATATATATATATATATATATATATATATATATATATATATATATATATATATATTTTTTTTTTTTTTTTTGTGAGAAAATGTTGTGAGAAAAACATGTACAATTCATTTGTAAAGCGTATTGCAAGCAAATTCCCAACAACATTCCTCGTCACACCAGTGCTAAAAATATGTGGTGTTGTCCCCTATGACATGAACGTGCAGATGAGCTTCTAAAACCTGTTTAATGGCTGAGTTGGTAAAGTCTCGTGACCCAGCCTTCTTTTTCTTTTTTTTACTAAAATAAATAGGTTTATTTAGCCAAAATTAATTGTTTATACAATAAACTTAATAAATGCAAAAATCTTTTTTTCTAATTCATATTTTGACCAAATGGCCACACTCTTCCTGTCACTTCAATGATATTAGTCAACTCAAACTGAGGGACAATTTTTTTCAAAGCATCCTTATTTGACATAAGTTATTAAATCCTTACTAAACGTATAGTTGTTTGGAGCATGCTTCGTATCCGGAGGTTAGCAATCTCAAAGATCATAAAATGCTGGATCCGCCTCTGATCTATACAGATTTTGACCTGATCAATCTATTGCTGACTGGTCAACTGTTGTAACAAAAATAGGTTCTGCCGTACATTAGTTGAAATCTAACTTGTATTAAGTATTTTCTTCTACTGATTTGTTTTTTATCTCTACAAATATTATATTCGTCTTCGGTGGCAAGGAAGGTCTCGAAAGTTGAAGGGGGGAGGGGGCTGAAAACATATGTTAAAAAGGAAAAAGTTCCTTAATTTCGTATGATACAGCAAAATAAATAAATATAATCTGTTTATTCAACTATTTATTACACGTAACGTGATTAATTATCTTTTTAACGTGATTCCTCATCTTTTGCCTGCACAAATTTATTTAAAAAATAGATAGTATGCGATAGTATCTTAAACAGTTTTATGGATATACTTTTCCATGTTGATGTTAAATTGTGATTGAGTGGAAAATGATTATTTCCTTGTTGCTATCATAAAAGTTTTTTCAAAACTGTTTAGAAAATTGGGGGGTTAAAGGCAGGACCCGCCCCTTTCCCTGTATATTAGTTGGGGAGGGAGGGGAGTTATTGCTCCCTCTGCCCCCTCTGTTCCTACGCCAGTGTTCATGCTTGTATTGAAAACTATTGTCATACTTTTTAATTATTTTCTGTTAACTCCAAACGTAATTAGTAGCCATGTAAGAGATTAGTTGTTTTAATCTTTAGTTACATTAGTTACATCAGTGACACAAAATCTTAGTAAAATAAAATCCAATAACTCCATTTTTGAAAAAGAGCGCACGTAATCTAAAAA